CCTGCACCATCAGGAGCATTTTGCGTGACTCCACACCCCATCCCAGCCCCGCTTACCTATTGCTCCTGGAGAAGTTGGGGGACCGAATTCGGGGCTTCCTCTAAAGCCCCGTCCCGCCCCCTTTCTCCACCACCACCACCACCACCCTCCCTCCTGCCCCGGGGTAGCACCCCTGTGTCCCTCCGTTACGCACCTCTGCCTGCATTCGCCTTGCAAAACCCCAGAATCCTCGGAGGCAGGCAAGGCCGCGAGGCCACCTTTGCCTTCGCCTCCATTTGGGTTCTGCCGGTGTTTTCTGGCCACATGACCCTAGACCGGAGACATCGGTACCCTATTACCTCTTCTAGTCCTAACCCCAAGCCTGGTTCCCGGGCGCCGCCACCCCTAGCCTAGATTTAGTTTGGATAAAAATGGAGGTCGTGGGGGCCGGAGGGCCAGGCCCACTGCGTTTCGCAGCGCGGCACTGGCCGGCGCCTTCCAGCTGCCAGATCCGGGACCCTCCCTAGTTCCTTCCCTGTCGCCCCGCCAGACCTGCGGGGGCAGTGGCACCCCCATTTCTCCTTGGGGCGCAGACTACTCTGTGGCCAGAATCCGGGGCCGCGGAGGGACCCTGGAAGGTGATGGGCAGTGAAGGCTAAGAACGGCGCCCCCGCCCCCAGCGGCTTCCTCCTGGCTTGCTTCCTTCTGTTTTTAGCTTCTTGCGTTGCCGCCAGGCTTGGGTGCTGGCAGCTAGAAGGAAGGGGCTTTCTCCGGACATGGGGAGGTGGAACCGGGGGGAAGGGTGTTCTGCCACCTCCTCTTATTTGGAGGGCATCCCCTGGCACTGGCGTATTAAGCTGAATTGACAGAGGGGAAATGTTCGTGGGGAAGTGGGAGCTGGGTGGGGGATGTCTGCGTCGGCAGAGCACAGTGTGCATGACCAGATCACACAGGTGTTCAAAAGGTGGGGCAGGACTCCGGGTCCTGGAGCGGAGCCAGCCAGGCCCCTGGGGCCCCCGCGCGGTGTCCGCGGACTGGGCTCCTGGGGTGCCGAGGGCGCAGCGGCGGGCCCCTTGAGACCGGCTGCTCGCCTGCCCGCCCGCTTCCTCGGAGCCCTAATTACTCGAGAGCAGCTCCCGCGGGCTTTCTGCGGGCGCGCCGGGACGGGCGGCCTCGGTGCGGGAGGGAGCTGCGCTTGGAGCTGCCTTCCCTGCTACCCTCGCCTCCACCCGCCGCGGGCGGCTAATGGGGCGCAGCCGGCCCAGGGATTATCCGGGGTGAGCCGTCCCGAACCTATTAGTGCCAATCGGCTTTTCCCAAATCCTGTAAACAGCCACCCTGGCCGGTTCTGGGTCGGGCTGGAGGCTGGATCGGGTGGGGGTGAGGGGCCAGGGGTGGGGTCACCCACCCTACAGGTCTCTGCCGCGGATGCGGTTGCTTTGGCAACAGGGCTAGGGTGGGGGCATTTCACCAATGAGGTGCTCTCAGTCCGGGTGACGGTTGCCTAGGCAACCCCACGAACAGCCCAGCTTCTTCCTCTAGTTTCTCCTCCTCCCCAGTCGAAGCTGGGGGTGTGTGTGGAAGGGTGTACTGTTTGTGTGGGTGAATTTAAAGAGGCACCGCCCCTTTTAAAATTAGGTGCTAGGAGGGCGGTGTCTGTGCCGGCCGGGCGGACGCCAGGTCTGTTTTCTCAGGGACTCTCCCCGCCGCTGCCGACACCCCCAGCACCCCCTAGTTCCTGCCGCGGGTGTCCCGGCCGGGCGGCTGTCCGAGGGAGGGGTTTCCCCTACGCTTCCTCTCACACTTCCCCCTCCGTTTCCGGGGGGCGGGAGGACGACTGGGGAAGTCAGCTATTCCTGGGCACCACCTCTCCCGTGCCAGAGACCCCGGCTCTGCCTCGGCGACAGCGGCCGCCCCCTTCCTCCTTCGCCCTGCGCTTACCCCTTCCGGGCCGCGCTTCAACCCCGCCTTACCCCCCTTCTTTCCCTGGCGGCCTTGGGCCTGACGTCAGCCTGCATCCCCCAGGCCTCGGGCCAGAGGCGAGGAGCTGCCTCCCCCAGCCCCCGTCCCGCGGCCCCCAGCCGCCCCCAACCCCGCCCCACGAGCCCGGCGCCATGAGTGAGCTGGAGCAACTGAGACAGGAGGCTGAGCAGCTCCGGAACCAGATCCGGGTGAGGGCCTGGCGGCTGGGCTAGGGAGGCCCAGCGGGCAGGGCCAAGTGGCTTGCATGTACTGGCCTGGGAGGATTTCTTTTGCACTTGTGGGTACCCTAATCTAACTGTTTCACCCTCTCCATTCCTCTATCTCCTGTTTTCTTTCCCTTTGGCCCCCTCCCCATCTCTCCTGCCTCTCTTTGACTGGCTCTGCCATCCTTTATAGGATGCCCGGAAAGCATGTGGGGATTCAACACTGACCCAGGTGAGATGAATCCAGGGTTGGACATGGGGTTTAGGGAAGGAGCAAGGGTTTGAGGCATACTGCTGGGTGGGCCTTGCTGCCTGAACTTCCCTGAGCCCGTTCTGCCTCCACCTCCAGATCACAGCTGGGCTGGACCCAGTGGGGAGAATCCAGATGAGGACACGGAGGACCCTCAGAGGGCACCTGGCAAAAATCTATGCCATGCACTGGGGGACAGACTCAAGGTGTGTGTGTGTGCATTTGAGGTTGTGTGCTGAGCTTTTGTGTTGGCTGGGGCTGACTTTATAGCAGGTGGGGATGGGGAACATCAGCCTTGCAGATCTGGTGGGAGAAACAGGATGCCAGTGGTGCTGAGTGTGTTTGGAAGACCATGATTCCCAGACATGCCCAGGAGATGGGAAACAAGACCGACCACAGTTAGGAACCTCTGGGCTTCTGTCGGGAGTTGTATCCAAAGGGCCTCCCAGCCCATAGGAACGAGGGAAGGGTGTTTTGCCTCCAGAGGGGGCTTCGTGCCCTGACCCCTTTGCCTCTCTCCGCCGTTCTCAACAGGCTGCTGGTCAGCGCATCCCAGGATGGAAAGCTCATCATTTGGGACAGCTATACCACCAACAAGGTAGAGGTTGTGCCTGCGACTGGATGGAATGGAGCTGCAGGCCCCAGCCAGCTCTGACCTGAGCACTGCCCTCCTCTCCAGGTCCATGCCATCCCACTGCGCTCCTCCTGGGTCATGACCTGTGCCTACGCGCCTTCAGGGAACTTTGTGGCCTGTGGGGGATTGGACAACATCTGCTCAATCTACAGCCTCAAGACCCGTGAAGGCAATGTCAGGGTCAGCCGGGAGCTGCCCGGCCACACTGGTGAGAGGGGCCTGGTGGGGCATAGTGCTGTTGTCGGGGGAGGGGCTGTGCTGCCCTCCCTTAGAGACCCAGCTGACCAGCCCCTTTCCCCAGGGTACCTGTCATGCTGCCGCTTCCTGGATGACAACCAAATCATTACCAGCTCTGGGGATACCACCTGGTGAGGCCCTGCCACAACTAGGCAGTTGGGGCTCACCTACACTTCTGCCTGGGGGCTGGTGTCTCAGTGTTTAGTACATTGTACAACACCCTGAGCAAGCGAGGGCAGAACCTTCCTTCTGAGCATCTAGCCTCCCTCTCCTGGTGTGGGGGCGGAGGGCAGGTACAGGGACAGACTCCTGTGACGGAGTGGCTTCCAGCACCCCTTTCTTGGAGGCTCTATCAAGGCCGACCTCGCACAATAGAGGGACAGGGAAGCAGGGAGTATGTCCTACACCTCTGATCCCTGCCTTCTTCCTGTTACGTCTCCAGTGCCCTCTGGGATATTGAGACAGGCCAGCAGACAGTGGGTTTTGCTGGACACAGTGGGGATGTGATGTCCCTGTCACTGGCCCCCGATGGCCGCACCTTTGTGTCAGGTGCCTGTGATGCCTCCATCAAGCTGTGGGATGTGCGGGATTCGATGTGCCGACAGACCTTCATTGGCCACGAGTCCGACATCAATGCAGTAGCTGTAAGTTCTAGGGCAAGTTGGGCTGGCCCATTTCTGCCAGGCTTCTGGCCCTGCTCTGTGCCCTCATCATGCTCTGATCCTGCACCCCACAGTTCTTCCCCAATGGCTACGCCTTCACCACGGGCTCCGACGATGCCACATGCCGCCTCTTCGACCTGCGGGCTGATCAGGAGCTGCTCATGTACTCCCATGACAATATCATTTGTGGCATTACCTCGGTTGCCTTCTCCCGCAGTGGCCGGCTGCTGCTTGCAGGCTATGATGACTTCAACTGCAACATCTGGGATGCCATGAAAGGCGACCGTGCAGGTGAGCTTGGCGCTGAGGTGGACAGTTGCAGGCAGGGATGCAGAACCCAGATGGGTGATACTGTTGTCCCCTTGCCTCATAGGTGTCCTTGCTGGCCACGACAACCGTGTGAGCTGCCTCGGGGTCACTGATGATGGCATGGCTGTGGCCACAGGCTCCTGGGACTCCTTCCTCAAGATATGGAACTAACAGGCCCAACCCCACTGGGCCCAGACCAGGAAGGGCCCTGCCCATGCCCACACTACAGGCCAGGAGCTTTGGAGCTGGGTACATACACCAAGCCTCCCTCTCTGGGTCACTGGGCCTTGGGTCCCTGCTCCCCTACCCAGGTTTGGTTCCTCCCGGGGCCCCCACTGTGGAGTTAAAGATGGGGATAGAATGGGGGAAAGAGGAGGCACAGAATACCCTCACCCTTCTGCTGTCCTGGGGTTGGGGCCTCATTCCTCTGGAGAGCCAGAGGCAGGAGGTGGAAACTCCAGGGGCTGGCTTTTTTAAAACTGGTTTTATTTTAATTTTTATTATATTTTCAGTTTTTCCATAAAGGAACCAATTCCAACTCTGTACCTGGTCTCCACCCTTGCTTGTCTTCCTTATTCCAGATGTGCCCGCAGGGGCAGACCCACAGTGGCCTGTGCGACCCAGGAAACCCTTTCTCAGCCTAAAGCATATCACAGGTGGCAGGAAGGCCCCCTGCCAGCACTTCTCAGCTGTGCCAGGCACCCACAGTGCCCTCTTCCCCAGAGAAGAGATGCAAAGGCAGAAAGGGAGAACACACACCAAGTTTTATTGGGGGTTAGGGGAGTATTTACAGGGATGGGTAGAAAGGGAAGTCACACAGGGTAGGGGGAGACTGCAGGTACAAGGCAGACAAGGGGACACAGGATGACCCTTGTACCCAGCACAGCCCTGGGAAGGGCAGAAGAGCAGATGGCCCAGTAAGCTGGATGGGGCTGCAACAGACAGTGACAGGGTGGAGTCCCTGGGCTGGGGAGCTCAGGGGCTTGTAAACATTGACCACTCTCAGAAGGGGATAGGGGTGGGAGAGGGCTCCCCCTACACTTCCTCACAGGGTTAAGGCCTCTCCAGGCTCAAACCCCCCCCCCCAAGTTCAGTCTCTTTGGGGGGAGGGAGGGGAAGGAAGAGACAGGGAAGTGTCATCCCCCCCTACATTGGCTGGGGCAGGGGTGGGGGGGTTACATTCAGTCACAACAGCACTCCCCCAACACCTCTGATGCCACCACACACTGGCGTGAGGAAAGGGGGAGTTGGGGGGCCAGCAGCAGCAAGACATCTCCCCCTGGCCCATCACCCCCTTATTGCTTTAGAGAGATATTGTCTTTTCACGGACGCTAACACTGTTGAAACCAGGGAGAAGCAGGTGGAGGGAGCTCCTCCACCCCGAAGGCCAGCTTTACCCCCAACACTGACCCAGTTGCCACTTTGGTGCAAAAAAAAACACAAAAAACTCTCTAGGGACAGAAGGGAAAATGGGGGCCACTCCCCATGTCCCCAGGGCAGGAAGGATAAATACATTCATGGAGGGGAGGCAGTGGCAGAATCCTGCCCTAATACTGCGCTCTCAGCAATGAGGTCATGGGAGAAATCAGATGAGAAACCGAAAAGACAGAGCTGTTAAAAAAACACACACAAATGGAGACATACCCAGGTAGGTGATTGCAAAGTGGGTGAGCAACAGAAGCACGACCTACCCGTGACCCAAGAGAGACTTCTATTCTTGACCCCCACCTTACCCAACTAGTCAAAGGAGCAGGCAAGGAGGAGGCCATGCACTCCTCCCCCATATGGTCAATGGAGGGGGTCAGGGCAGAGCCAGGTGGTCCACATCCCACACAGCTGGCTTGCAGGTGGGGGCTCCCTTCTAACACCCCCGGCACTGCAATGCCAATTCCCAAGCCACCCCCTCCTTTGGCCTCCTGGGCCCCTCCCCTCCCCACCTTCACAGGAGGAAGTCATGTAGTGGTGCCTCTCTCCAGCCTGGAGGAACTGCTCCACCCCCACCCTCCCTCAAGGTTGAGGTAGGGGGTATAGCAGGGGCTTGTGGCCCGAAGAATACATTCATGTGGCAAGGCAGGGGGCTGGGGCTTGCAGCTTCACACCTAGGTCGACCCCCAAATGGCAGCGACAGGGGAAGCCCCTCACCAGGGCAGAGTGGAAGTTCTGCTGCCCTGATGGCCTTATGAGGTTGGCACTGGCCAGCCCTCTCCCATCAATTCCATCAGCCAGCGGAGGATGGCAGCCAGGGAGCTGAGGCAGCCTGGCCCATTTGTGCAACTTTCCCCCAAAGCAGCAAAGCCAAGGGGCTACTTGGGCCCCCATCCTGGACATCTGTGCCAGTCACAGCAACAAGGGAGCCGTTCACAGCGGGTCCGGCCGGCGGGGCTGAGGAGGCCTCGCTGTGCAAACTGCTGGCACCCCAGCTTCCAGTTACCCCAGTGGCCCACCTTGCAGGGTAGGGAGGGTAAGTGCAGCCTGAGGGCCAGACAGGACAGGTCCATGGGGCCCAAGTCCCCACTGCCCCAAAATAACAGTGTGTTTTTTCTTTCAGTCTCCTAACCTTTTTTTTCATTGTTTTTCTTTTTCTTAAAAAAAAAAAAAGGAAACAGCGGACCTTCCATTGTCACCTCCACTATCCCCACAGGGGGAAGGCAGTGATCAGAGTGTAGCTTTCAACAACTTTTTTTTTGTCTTTCCTAATGGTTTTTTCAATGTTTTAAAAATTTTTTTAAAAGAAAAGAAAAACAAAAAAACCCTTCCCCCCATCTGTAAAGTGCCTCGTGGTGGGTGAGTTAAGGTGCATCGTGTGGTTTGTAACAAGTGCTGGGGACCCTGCCCCTGCTTCCTCCTGTGCTCCTCATGGGGAGCCTGCAGGCTGGGGACCCAAAGGTCCAAGCTGCTGCCACCCCTGGCCCACAGCCCAGGGGCCTGGTGGGATGGGCTGGTCAGTAGTCATCCACGCTCTCGATCTCACCAGAAGGTCCATGCAGGGAGTACCCTGAGGCCAGGAGAAGCTGGGTGTGAGCACTCTCCCCCAGGCTTCTGCTCCAGGCTGGGGAAGGAGTCCCCCTCCTGTACCTCCTTCCCTTACCCAGGATGCTGGGGTCTGAGTGCAGCATCAGTGCCCGCCTCTTGGCCTTGCTGCCCTCCCCAGGGCCGAGTTTGGTGCTGTGGTTGGTCTGAAAGGCTGTCTGCAGGGAGCCACTGCTTAGCCAAGCCTCCTGCAGGAGGGGAAGAGTCAGGAGGACGCTGGCACTCACTCTGCACCGGGGCTGAGAAACCTTACCTGCTGCCGCTGCTGGCTGGCTTTTTGCTTGGCCCTCCGCTCCAGGAACTGTTTGGCAAATTCTTTGGCTTCGAGCGTGTCCCCCAGGCAGGAACGGATATAATCATGGACATCGTAGGGGGACTCCACCTCCTTGAGGATCGCTACAGCCATGGGCACTGTGGGGCACGATGGGGGCTGTCAGGACCCACCCAATGCAAGTCAGGAGCCATTGGCCCAGCCCAGCCTCCCAGGGTCGGCCCTGTGTACCATCCAGGCTGCCTGTGGTGCTCAGCGTGTGTAGCATCTGCTCACACCACTGGGTGAAGCCATCCTGGGGCCGGGGGATGCCCTGTAGCAGCTTCAGCAGCTTCTCTTCCTCCTCGGTCTTTTTGCGCACAGGCCGACCTGAGAGGTGGCTGTACGAGTCACTGAGCAGGACGGGGGTCAATTAGAGACAAGAAAACAACTCAGGTGTCCCTCATCCCTCTGCCCCAGGCCCTATCCAGACCCTGCAGGCCTCAGCACCCACCTGAGAGAGGGGCTGCTCCGGCTGTTCTTCAGGCCCAGGCTGCGGGCCAGGCTCCCACTGCTCTTGAGGGTGTCCTCCCAGAGCCCCAGGCTGCCGCTGCTGCCCCCACTCTTGTCCGGCCCGCCCCACAGTGGCCCAGCCTCAGCTACCCACTGGTTCAGGGGGGCAGCGCCCAGGCCCCCAAGCTGCTATAAACAGCAGAAAGTCAGGGCCCAACAGGAATACACACACTCAAGAAAGCAAAGTAGAGAGGCTTGTCTCTGTAGCAAAAGTGGGACAAGGTGAGGGCCACATAGGAAAGCAAGCTTTCAGGGTCAGGCCATACAGTCTAAGCTCAGAGACTCCCCCCAACAAGGCTCACCCTGGGAGCTGACTGGAAGGGGGGATTCCCAAGGGCCCCAAAAGTACCAATCAGCAGGGGACAGGCCCTGCCTGCTCACCACGCGGTGGTTGGACTGGGCCCTCGATGGCTCCCGAGGCGGGGGCTGCTTGTGCAGTTGCCGCTCACCCTCCAACTGCAGCTCCAGCAGCGTCTTCATGGACAATCCCTGCTTGGCCAGACCGGCCCAGAGTGGGGGCGGGGAGCTGGGTGCAGGGGGCACGGTGGCAGCCTGTTGCTGCTGTAGCAGCTTCAGTAGTAGCTCCTGCTGCCGCACCTGGGCCAGAGGCACGCGGTGAGGGAAGTGGGGCCCCAAGCGCAGGCCCGGAGGCCAAGGGTTCACCCAGCTCAGGCGCCCACCTGCTTACGCCGGAACAGTTCCTCTTCCTCCTGCCTCCGCTTTTGCTCCTCCTGCTGCTGCTGGCGTCGCTTCTCCTCCCGGCGCTGGCGCTCCTCCTCCTCTCGCTTCACCCTGAGCTCCACTTCTCTGCGCTCTTGGAACTGGCGATCAGTCCACACACTCCCAAGTCAGGCCCAGGGCACCTGGCCCTCCCGCCTCAGCCCCACCTGCCACCCCAAGACTCTGCTCCCAGGACGCCTACTCACTTTATGTTGCAGCTGGAGCTGTTCTAGAATTGGACCCTGAGTCGAAGAGTTTACTGGTATGTCCCAAAGACTGGCCTCACCGCCTGCAGTAGGAAAAGGCAGATGCAGGAGCTCAGGCCCCGGGCTGGAGCTGAAGGGAGCAGCCCCTGGCACCTACTTGCCCAGAAACTGCAGGGAGGGCAAGACAGGGCCACCAAGCTGGCTAGCCACACACCTGATTGTGATGAGGCTGAGGTATGTATGTCCCAGAGGGAGCCTGAATCCGGCACCGATAGGGATCGGTTCATCGTCGGGAGCAGGTTCTGGTCCCCACCTCTGAGGAGCAAAGCACTGATTTTCAATCCCTGATCCCCAATGTGGCTCACCCTCATCCCCCCTCCGTGTCCTCATATACACACAGTGCAGGCACACAAAGACTGCAACACGACAGACAAGCCTGCAGACCTGGAGGGTTTGAGAGCTTGGAGCTGCTGCAGGAATGCGCTGAGCTGCTGCTGTGGTGGCGTCAGGTCCCCCAGAGCCACCTTTTCCCGGAGCGCACACTGTGGGAGCTGCCGGCTGCAGAGACAGGACAGGTGTGGGGGGCAGGCTACACAGCCAGTGTGCCCAGCCATACCTTCAAGCCCTTCTGAGCTCCCCATACCTGCTGACTAGCTGAAGAAACTGCTGGTGCTGCAGCTGCTGGTACAAGGCTGCTGCCGCCAACTCCTGTTGCTTCTTCAGTCGCTCCTGGTCCATGTTTCCCTAAGCCAGGTTGAGAACGTTCCTGTGGCTCTGACCTTGTCTTGCTCTGTACCACCCACAGTCATGCACCAGACTCCCAGCTCCCCTCCCAGCTCTGCGCCAAGAAGGGTATGCTCACCAGCAGTGGGGGTGGTGAGGGCCCTGGAGCAAAGGGCACACGACCCCACATCTTGATCACCTCACCCAGAGGCTGGAAGCCCTCATCACAGCCCCGCTTCACCAGCAGGGACATGGAGAAATAGCCTGCCTGGAACCACTCTGCCATCTCCTGTGTTGTGAAGGGGCCTGGCCCGAAGGAAGAGGGACTCGATCAGGAAGGTGCGCCAGAGAAGCCCCGAACAGGAATGGGCTTGTGTGGTCCTCCTGCCCCGCTGTAGCCCCGGCTCCCCACAAAAACCTTGGATCTCCCCCTGCGGGTCCTTGTAGAACCACTTCCGAGCGGCACCGTGGCTTAGGGGGAGGGCAGTGACAGCAGCACAGTGGCGCAGTCCCTGCGCCTGAATGGCAGCCGTGAACTGCTCTTCCTCCAGAGAGCTGTCCTGCAGGGAGGCCACCAGTTTCTCTGCCTCCTGGGTACAGGGAGAGAGAGAAGGCTCAACCACCCAGTCACAGACATCAGGACGGGGCTGGGGCTGGGGCTGAGGTCGGAGTGGGGTCAGGAGATCAGGTCACAGATGCAGCAGGACAGACAGGGAAAAGCTTGAAACAGCAGCTCTCTGTCCCCATGCAGGGATGATCCCTAGAACCTTCTTCAGGCCCTCACACCTGCTGCAGGTGCTTCAAGCCTTCATCATCTTCCAGGTCTCCAGGTGGGCCAGGAGGAGAGCCCACCCCAGGACTCAGTTGCATTTCCCTCATATCATCTCCTAGGAAAAGTGAAAAAAGAAGGTAGAATGGGGAGGTCCAGAGAAGGGTGAGCCAGCTGCTCACCCACCCTATCAGAAAGTGGGCTATGTTTCCAGCCCCCACCCGACCTGATGCCCTGCGCGTATGCGTCTCCTTCCCACAGGAAAGCGGGGGCAGGGGTGGGGGACGTTTTCCCATCAGTCCCAGGCTCCAGCTGCAAGGACAGCTCCCACCCTCTGGCTACCTTCAGCTGCTGGCAGGTCTTTCTCCACAGCCTCATCACCTTCCCCATTAGCTCCCCAGAGTGGGCCCAAGGTAGGCAGTGGGGACGGGGAGCTTGGCTTCTCTTCCTGGGGAGGCAGTGGGGTCAGTTCCTTCCCCCCTAGAAGAGAAGGGTCATCACCAGAATTCAAAACCAAAGAGCTGGAAGGCTTTATTGTTTAGCACAAACCCTCCTTTTGTGGTCAGAACTGGGGCCTCTGGGTGTTGAGTCCTTGCCCTTCACTGTGATTAACCCAACCAGTGCCCAGCAAATCACCACCACAGACCTGCTCTGCACACTTGCTTTCGTGACCCCACAGTGCTGGACACATCATTCACATGTCCACATCACCACCCAGAGCTTATACATAATACCACAGATTCAACATCATCTTCTATAGATTTCTAAAAGGACTTTCAAAGGTTGTTTCAATTATGCCTGATTTCTACCTGACATGCTTGCTGCCTTGGAGAAGCAGTGCTGCCATGCCCATGCACACTTGTCAGGACCCGCTCCTCCTATGCAGCAGGTGGGCTGCCGGGACCCGGCCTGGAGGGGGCCCCTCTGCTCCCATGGCCCAGCCCAAGGCTCTCAGGCACTCCCCCGCCCCCCTCTGCAGGCTTACCTGCCTCAGGTCCCTCCTCATCTAGCCCTTCTGGAGGCTCTTCCTCCTCTTCCTCTAGGCCCTGAAAGTCGAGGTCCTGCTCCTCAGGAATGGGCTCCTTGGGGCCCTTCTGCACAGCGTTAGGGGACGCAATAGGGAGCAAGGGGCACAGGACAATGGGTGGAATGAGAAGGTGCCATCCGGCAGGCTCCCACCAACCACTAATAGAAACCTTCTCCTTACCACCTCAGATACCTTGAGGGGCAAGAAGGCCCCAGAGGCGTCAAAGGTGCCCATTTCCTCATCCTCATCGTCTAGACACCACTCCGGGAGCCCATCCTTCTCATCATCAAAGCTGTCAGGCCCGCGGCACCTCCGGAGGTGAGAGCTGCCTCCTCCACCCCGCCCCTCCTCTTCACCACACCCTCGATCCCCTCGCAAATCAAATTCAAACTTGCGACGCCGGTCCCCATGTTCCCGCCAGCCAGCAGAGCGGGGACCACCATCTGGGCAGAAAAAGGGAGAGGCAGGGGATCGGAATCCAGTCAGGCCAGAGCCTCTGCTATTTCACTGCCCACCAGTACCCCTGGGAACCACCAGCACTCCCAGGTTTGCTCCCCACCGCCGTCCAGAAAGCTTTCTGCTCCTCCACCCGTCCCCAGGCCACCCATCTGGCCTCAGTCTCACCAGGGCTGGCTGAGCGCCAGCGGTCGCCATCTCGCCGGGGTCCTGCCCCAAGTCTCCAGCTGCCCTCTTCTTCCTCTTCTTGCTCCTCTCGGAGAGAACGCCAGTTCTCGCTATCTGAGCGGGCATGTTCCTTCCTCAGGCCAGACCCTCCCTCCTCAAACCCGGATCGAGCTTGGGGGTGGGGGAAGACAGAGTCAGCAGAATGGCAGCCACGGTCCCTGGAAGACTCTACTATAAACCTTGCTGGGAGAGAGAAGCCCAGCTCCAGGCCCTCCTCCCCTACCACCTCTCTTAGGCAGCACGCCCCTAAATGGGGTCACCCACTTCAGACCTCCCCCAGTTTCTCAATGGCATTCAGGGCCTGGCCATCACCCTCACCATTCTCCGTACCTCCATCCCTCCTGGCTGACTTCTCAAACCGCCTCTCGCCTCTGGAGGAAGGAAAAATACTAGTCAAGGGAGGGCAGCCTCCCTTCCCCAGCATGCGGGATCCCTGCACCTTGTCCGCTCTGCCATGAGAAAAGCAGGGGAAGGGGCAAGGAGACTTGGAAAAAGTTAGGCTTGAGAGGAAGCCCAAGGGGAGCACACAGAACAGGTCAAAGGCAGAGGGCAGGACCACAGGGGTAGTAGAGTATAGTGAGGTCTCTGACCAGGCCTCATTTGGTGGTCTCCTGTTGCCCTCTAATGACAAAGACCCAGGCCTCCCTCCGTGGAACCCTGAGACCTAACCCAGGGCTTCTCTCTGCTCTGCCTCTATGCCACCTCCTTCTGGCCTGCACCTGTCATCCCAACTCTGGCTGCGCTGGATCTCCCGGGGGTTTCGGCCAAAGGCTCCATCGCCTTCTTCAATGCTTCTTTGGTAAAAGCAACTGTCACCGCGGCCGCGGCCTGGAGAGGAACAAAGTGCACATGGAACATGCCCAGACCCTTTCTCCTCAGCCCCACCTCTGCCTGCCCCCACAGCACACCAGCACCCCCCTCTACCTCGGCTCCGAGTGCTGCCCCTGCCACGGGAGGTGCCACCTAGGGGGGGCCCAGCCCCTTTTCCCATCAGCCTCAGCACGGCCACGCTGTTCACTGACAGGGAGAAGTTTCTCTGAGGAGGGAGCCAGGGATGGGAATGAGGACCCGGGCGCCCAACCACCCCCATGCCTACCCAGAACCACCACTTCCACCATCTGTCTTCCCCACTTTAGACCCTCTCGCCAAGGTGGAGGAGACCCAGCACCCTGGCCTGCAGCTGCCCCAGCCCAGCCCCACCTGCTCCTCCTCAGTCAGAGGCTCCAGTGCCAAGGGCTGCAGTGGTTCCTCCTGCAGCACTGCAGCAAACTCCTTGTCCTGCAGCTCATCAGGAACCTGTCAGTTGGGGCAGGAGGGCTGAGATCCCACACGCTCCTTGGCCTTCTCTACTGACTGAGGCCAAACAGGCAATGGGCCACATACCCCACATCCACTGATTACCCACCTTGTTCTCCTTGACATAGAGAGCCAGCATCTCCTCTCGCCCGTAGCGATAGTCAGCCAGCTTGTATTTGGGCATGGCAGGGGATGGGGGTGGGGAGGCCACACTGCCACCGCTGGAAAGGGCCCTCAGCCTAGAAAAGACACATAAAGGATGGATAAAGACAGGAGTCTAAGCAGCCTTATTCTTCCTGCTTCTCCACACCACCCAAAGCACATCTGACTCACCACTCAGGCCCAAAGTTGAGGGTCTCTGCTGCCATTGTGGAACTGGGCGTGTCCTAGTGGTTGGAAGGGGTGAGCAGAGCGGGGGACCTAGCATTCACTCTCCAAACACCTGTGGAGGCACAGGGACACTGGACCTTGGGAACAGCTCATGAGGAGAAATATGAGGATGAGGTCCCCATCTTGGTGGGCACAGCAATGGGCTCTAAAAGGTTTTACCTAAGCCAATCACGTGCCACTCACACCATGAGTTCACGAAACAGCCACGATGGGGGAAAACCTGCAGGAGGGAAGGAAACAGGGCATCAAGAGCTTCTTCCAGCTCCTGCAGGGGGGTGCCCTCCCTCTGCCCCAGACTCACCTGGCAGACTTGCTGGGGAAGCAGGGGGGGGGGCAGGGGCCAGGCTTTCTTCAAACAGGGGCCTATGCTGGAGTGAACCAGGGTCCCTAAGCTACTGGATGTTGGTCTGACCGCAGTGGTGCCCAGGGAAGGACCTTCACATCTAGGAAAGATCCTTCAGGAGAGGTAAGGGAAGAAGGCAGGGTTAATCTGGCCTCCCTGCTAATGATACTCCTCTCACCATCCTCTGTCCTACCTAACAGGGTGATCCTCAGCTGCCCAGAGGTTACCTCATCTCTGGCATCCACACGCTCATTAGGCCTCGAGATCAGTTAACTCACTCACAGCAAAGCCTGACAGAGGTGCTGGGGGTGTGGCAGAGCAAGCCAGGCACCTCTTAGGCCTCAGCACTCTAGCTGGATGGTGCAGCAGTTTGTAAGAGGGTGCTTAAGGTAGCATGGATGTTCAGAACAACAGAAAAACACACTCACATACACACAAGCAAACAGGAAAACCCACTGGAGCCATGAACATTCTAGAGAGGGAAAAGGTCACTTATGGAGAGGTGCATTAGAAATTACATGGGGAACAAAATTATCTCCCTCCTAAAAAAACTCAAGGCCGGCTGCTTGGTGGCTAGAATTTAGGGTTTACAAGGGGAGTAGGGGGGCTATTCCAAGGTCAAAGGTGGGGTACACACAGAAGGCAGGCAAGTCAGCCAGCACACCCACAGGCTGCTTTACCAAACAGGGATCAACACCTAGAGCCCTCTCGATCAGGAATACCCCAATCACGAGTACAAAGAGCCAAGAAAGGAACATTATTATGAGAGCAGCTAGGAAGCAGGGCCCCTCACCATAAAGTGGAAACAAAGTCAGTGTTACTGAGGTTGACAGAAGAAGGGCAGTGGCAGCCATCTGTCCCCTACTGAACAATGGAGGCGGCTCTCAGGGGATGGCTAATCCCTGGCAGTTACAAGCAAGGACGAGTGAGCAGGGTCTCAGGGGGCTGCCCTCACTGGCTGGTGGGGAGGCTAGACTGGATTGCATCTACAGTTCCCATCAACTCCAAGACTCCACACCTCTGGGAAGAAGGCAGAAGGGAATCCACCACAGGGGCCAAGGGCAAGAGGCTCCCACCTACAGCTGCAAGCTGGAAGGTGAGGCAAAGCTCCACGACACAGAACCCATTCCCAAATCCCAAAATCTCAGGGCAAAATGCAGCTTCTGAGACCATCTAGAGCAGAGCTGACTTCTGCTGGCATGGGCACCTCTTCTACAAAAGCCCAGATGCACACTGTGGTTATGGAGCACACCACAGTCCCCGTGGCTGTTGGGAGACACACATGCTGAGCAGCTCTTACAGTCACCGAATTCAAGTAGGCCTCCCAGAACAGGAGAGTAAGGGCCACTCTCTATGTTACGCCCTTATGTGATCTGGCCAATAGCAAACCTTGAAGGCATCATGCTAAGGGAAACAACCCAGTCACGAAGGAACAGATATTGTTTGTGTTCTCCCATACGAGATTCCTAAAGGAATCAAACTCAGAGACAAAGAGTAGAATGGGGGTGGGGGAATGGGGGCAGCAGGAGGCAGTGTGCCAGACCTGGGAGGCAAGGGAGGAAGGAGTTATTTCACAGGTACAGAGTTTCCACTGAAGTGGGGAAGATTAACAAAGTTTTGGAGATGGATGGGGGTGATGGCTGAGCAATATTAATGTATTTAACATTACAGAACTGTACACTTAAAGTAAAATGGTACATTTATCACTGTTACAGAAAAGAAAAAGGAGAAAAGGACACTGTTACAGAAAAAGAAAAAGGACATCTGGGGCTAGCTATCACACACCTAAAGTCTTCCCTGCTCCAAGAAAACACCCTACATTCCTTCAGACCAGCCTCAGGAGAGGCTGTTCTGAGCCTCCCCAGTTCACTCCTAAGAGCCCAGTCTCCTAGAGGGACAGAGGTGTACTGCGGGCACAGAAGCTGGGGTGGGGGGGCACACTCACCCTGTCACCCTTCCAGGGAGCAGCAGTGCTCCTTGCCGCTTCCCACTACTGGCCTCTGCCTTTCTGTCTTGCTTGTACAGAGCAGACTGAAGGAAAGCAGCTCCCAGTGTGAGAGGCAGGGAAACTGCAGAGACAAGGAGAAGCAGTCGAGACAAGAAGCTAATGAGCAGCTGGAGAAAAAAGTCAAGCCCTAGGTGGACCCAGCCAGAAGAGGACCTGGTCCCAGAAGCTGGGGGCTGCCTGGCCCTTTCAGAACAAAGGAAGCATTGTGAAGCAGTGTATCTGCCACCCCACGTTCCCAGCCCTCGAAACAGGTGCTTCTCTACCACAGGCTGCCTCCAAGCCAGGGTTCTCACCTGGAAGTGACTCTGCTCTCCAGGGGAACATTTGGCAGTATCTGGAGACACTTTTGATTGGCATAACTAAGAGGTGCTACTGGTATCTAGATAGTAGAGGCCAGGGATGTGGCTGAACATGCTACAGTGCAAAGGGTGGCCCCACAACAAAGATTATCTGGCCCAAAGCGTCAACAGTCCCATGGTTGAGACACCTCCCCTGTGCGAAGAGCACAGGTAATGCAGCTTCCGTGTTTGTGGAGATGAATGGAAGGCAAGAGAAACCAAATTTACTCCAGCTCATTCTCCCCTGTGAAGAGCAAGGAGATCATTCCCTAATTACACTGTCCCCTGAGAGACATCTGAAATCCTGCCAGAAGGGAAAGAAATCCTTGAGAAAATGAACAGATTAAACAAAACATTACCCTAAGATTCTCAATCTCAAACTCTCAAAGCCAAGAGTCTGGATCCCTTGCCAGTAAAGGAAGAGAGGGCAACGTGGCAGGTGGAGAACCAGGGACAGCATCCTTGCCTGGCTGCTTAATCGAAGGCGCTCCTCACAGGCTCACCCCAGCTTGGCCCCACCTCTTGACCCTGCACTCAGCACCTGTCTGCCTCATCCAGCTCTCTCCCTTGCCCAGCCCGCCCTTTCTCAGGCCTCAGTATACCCTCACTCCCCAGCACCTTAATTATTGCCATTAAAAGACTGCCCCCTGCTGGAGTCAAGAGGAGAGGACACCCCAGGTCCTGGGTGCTCACAATAGGCTTGAGGGAACAGAAGGGGAGCCTGTTTTCTGGAGTTCAGAACTCAATGGTGAAGGAAAAGATCCAGAGAATAAACAGCCCCGGTACACACTAAATTAAGAACATTATTTCCTCACTCCATCACCCCTAAAATTAGCCCCCATCCAGAGGGTATTGTGCCTTGGCATAGAAAGGTACCACTGCTAATGGAAGTGAAGTCCCAGATTCCCTAACATTCGAGCAAACAGAAACAGCCCAGCCCCAAGCTGGAGGTGACTCCGCCCTTTCTCAGGATGGATATTTTCCATGTGCGGTAGGATGAAAACTCTTTTGAGGCTTAAAATGGGGCACAAGCCCATGGTACCCCGCAGCTGGTCTACTACCCCAGCTCTCTACACTGAGCTATCATGACAAATAATGCCCCTTGGCATGTCTACTGGTTTTCAAAGCCCTTTCACACTTTACCTCGCTTTGATCTCTTCTGCCCACTTGCCCAGTGTTGGGCCCCAGCCAGGGAAAACAAGGAAGGTGGCTGCAGCTGCCCGGACAGGAGACCCTGATGTCCCTAGACACTCTAACCCAGAGGAAAACGGGCGCACAGGCAGCAGGAATCACCTTAAACTCACAAGCATACTTTGTGAGTTTTAAACCATTTTAAATTCATTAAAATTTTAAAAACCCTTCACACGGCCACCTCTTCTCACCTTCTCTGCTCTAAAGTGGGCTATTTTTGCTATCCCAAACTCCAATTACAAGCGTTAAAGGGCAAAGTGGGTCCTGTAATCATCAAATTATTCACAATGTTAGTATGTCTACTGGCTGAAAAAGCCAAGCCAGCGGTCAAAAATTACAACTCACTTGACTGTAATCCCTATATGGGACAACCTTCAAGGCCCCTGGTCCACAGGCCATGGCAGCCAACATAAAATCCAGATCTGTCTCAACCCTTCACAATTACATGTTAGCCCTACAATCTAGGAAATAAAATTGGAGCTGGGGTGAGGGTGGGTGGCCGAGACTGCACAGGGAACAGTACTGACCCAGGAGCCAGAGCTCAAACTCCCACACAGTGAGCAGCAAATGAGACAGCCTGTTGGTACCCAAGGTGTTGCAGCTGCAGAGGCAATAGACTGGGGGGTCTAAGTTGCAACTGGCAGATCAGCTCAGAGGGGCAATGGAGCAGTTATCTGGAGGCTGATCTCTGAGCAAAGAGCAATGAGAACCAAGAGGGGAGTAAGACTTGGGCAGAGAGTGTGGAAAAAGAAAGAGTCGGCCAACAAGTACTGATTTTTAGCATCTCCCGCGCGACAGGGCCCTACTCTGGACCGGACCTGGAAGCTCACTGGTAATTGTAGTAGTGACTGAGTAAGTGGGTCTCTCTAAAGTTAACCTGAAAAGGGAGTAAAAAGGGCAAAGTGCGAAGGGCCGTGGCCAGGGAGCTGCTGCATCAGAGGAGATGGGCTGGGAAGAGCCCAGCATGGCAGGAAAGACTAAGGTGTTTAACACCGCCGGACAACAGGGAGGAAGGAGACCCCAATGACCAAGCACTAATGTCGCTGGCTGAAAAGAAATAAAACCCAGTCAAGGTGCTTTGTTAAAAGGAAAAGCCTCCATGGAGCGTTAGCCAAAGTCATGGAACACTTGCACTTTGAGACCCGCAGGGCCCAGCTAATTCCGATAAGAACCCGAGGAACATTGGGGAAACCTCCGGGGAGTGCCGGGCATGAGGGTCGGGGGCCCCCGGGCGGGCCCGGCAGAGGATGGGGGCGAGGGCCCCGGGCAAGGCTTCCGCGGGGCCGGATAAAGACCGTTAGGAGCGCGGGGATGGGAAAGAGGCTGGTCGGCCGGGGAGGACGGCGTGCCCTTCAGGGAGGGGGCCAGGGGCGTGGGGTGAGGGCGGACACCCCCAGGAGCAGTCGACCTCCCTTGGGGCCGCGCTGGGGGAGGGCCCGGCGGGAGGCCTGGAGGCGGACGCACCGGGCAGCGAGGGCGGCGGCCTCGAGAGGAGTCGGGGGAGGGTCCGTGCAGGCGGCCCGCGCTCTCGCTCTGGCTCTCGCAGGCTCCGCGCGGCCGCCTCGGCGTCGGGGGCGGGCCTGCCCCGGGCCCGGCGGCGGGCCGGGGGCCGCGGGGCCGCCGAGCGCTTACCGCAGCGGGCGGGCGGCGGGCGGCTCCGGTCCTGGGGCGTTGGCGGCGCGCAGTGGGCCGGGGGCACCGGCAGCAGCGGCGGGGGAGGGGGCGCTGGCGCTCCCGCGGTGGCCGCTCCTCTCTGTTTGTGTTTGTAGCAAGATGGCTGCCCGCCTCGCACCACGTGACACGGACGCGGGGCCACGGGGCCGCCCCCTCCGCAGCCGCCGGCGTCTCCTCCGCCGCCTCCCTTTTGCGGCTCTGGCTCGCTTCACCCGCCCGGCTTCTTGCCCTCTCCAGATGCCTGGCGGTCAACGCCTGCCGCCCCCGACCTCCCCACCCCCCGGCACGTGACCCGAAGCTCGTCTTATCACGTGATGCGGGGCCTGCGGCGGCCCCGGGATGAAGGGTCCGAGATGCTCCCCGCACGTGACGGGCGAGTGTCGCGACAGAGGCTGCGGCTGTGGCGTCGCCGGCTGCTCCTGGCCAGTGGGCTTTCTGTAGGAGGCCCACCTGGGTTGAAGGAGACAACGTACAATCCCGAGGTCGTTCATTAGATGGTCAGGGATATAGGAAATAAGTGGGGAATACAGTGATTTAGAAACAGTCCGAGGCAGCCCTGCCTGGTGAGACCTGGAGTTTCTATCTGGCCCCTCCACAGACTGCCTTCTAGACCTGGGGCGAAAGAGTTGAAGCTTTCGGGCCTCCGTTTATCATGTATTGTAAGGTATAAGAGGTGTTTTCGCCTCATGCCCGGCCCCCACTCCACTCCCTTCCCGGCGCGTTGAAGGAATTAAAATAAGTGAATGTGAAAGGGTTTGAAAAGACAGGAACTGCTATGCAAAGAGGAACTGCACTTGGACACGTCCTTTGTTTTAAAAATGGGGTTTTCAAGAATGACTTTAACGAATTCCCAAACTTTTGGGGATGAGAAAGTTTTGTATTTGCTTTCACCATCCAGAATGTGTCTACTTCCCAAACAGCTGTTATCAAGCAAAATGTAATCCTCTTCAGGATAGCTACAGGTAAATTCAGAGTTGTAGCTTGAGTCCCCTGTGTTGTGCCATAAAGGAGCTCCGACCTCAGGAGCTACCGCGAGGATCCTTTGTTCCTGCAGCGAGTACCTCCCAGGCTTCTGTGCCTTTGTAGTTTCATTGTCAGCTTTTTTCAGTCCCCTGGACTTTCCTGCTGTCAGGATTCCTCTCTCAGTCTTAGTCAAGCTGCTTGCTCACAGGCTGGAAAATGCAACTGTTGAAAGCAAGAGCTCTGGTGCTGGTTCCATCCTTACTGTCTGTGGCCTTGGGCAAACGAATTAATCTCTCACATTTAACAAGGTGCGTGGCAAGGGGGCGAGCTATTCCACAAATGATAGCCAACAGGGGCTTCTGGTTCCACAGGGTGATAGTATTCAGATTGTTAACACTGAAAATGTAGCAACAGAACCCAAGCTTGGGTCAGAATTCTCCTATAATAAAGTTCTAAGTTTATGACAGCCTTTTTTCCTTACTCAAAGCTTCTGTTGTTGCTTTTTTTCAACTTTTCTAGATTGTGTCCTGAGTAGTTGAAGCTTCCGGGAGCTTAATCTCTGAATGAATGAAGCCTTCCCATGTTTTGTTAATTAGCCAATGTGAAATTGTAAATTATGGTAGAGTAACGGTACAGGGAAAAAAAGGGAAGGGACCTCTGGAAGGGAAGCAGCAGAGGACAGTGGCAGCCTGTGGGTAGACTTAGGAAAAGGTGGCATTGGCTTTAGGATAGCTACCATCCAGACTGATGGGAGAAGACCTGGATAGCTAGTTGAATGGGTATTAAGTGAAACAAGTTGAGGGCATTGAATGCTACCATGAAAATGTTTATGATCGGAGAGCAGCACCCACTGGACACTGCCTGTCAAGGAGGCACTCAGGACTTGGGGGTTGTCAATTGGGTGATTACCCAGCATTCTCCTGGGCACCAGCTCGTGACCCCCACAACCCCAGCTGTAAAGTGTGAATGCTGCTGCTGATGACACTGTGGAAATTGAATCATATAAGTGCTCTCTTGAGAAAGGAAACTGAAATCAGAACTGTGATTCTCCCATAAAGAATTTATTTATTTTTAATTATGAAGAAATCACTTGACCTAAAATAATTTTGTTTACTCAGGTACTATGTTGTAAAATGTCTTGTTCTGTGTTTTAAACTTGCAAACTTTTGAACTAGAGATTTGGATAGATGCTTAACTGCAACAAAAGGAGTATCTCAAGTAAGACCAAACAGCCACGCTCTGCCTTTTTTCCTAATGGCAGATTGCTCTGCAGCGTTTACTTTCACTGAAATGCAAAAAGATATGGACCATCTTGGTGTGGGATCAGGATCAGTTTATTACAGTGCCTGGCTTCAACCACCTAGATTGTAACCTTTATATTGACCTAGATGTCAAAGTTTGGAAAACATTTTAGATATTGTGACAAGACACACAACTTGAATACTGGAGCAATAGTTCATAAATTGTGCTTGTTATCACACAAAATGTGTCTTAAAAATATTTATTGTATTCAGAATTACTTTCTGCTATGAGCTAAGTTCTTTGGTTGAACAAATGTAACTGCTTGTCCACTTGCCAATGACCTCCACATTGCTAAACCCTCTGGCCCATTATCTTAATGTGGCCCCTTAACAGCATATGACACAGCCAGTACTCACTCCTAATGGAATTTGTCTTCATGTAGCTCCCAGGACACTATATGCCCTTGGGTTTCCTCCTACCTCACCATCTGCTCCCTCAGAGTCCTTTCCTGGTTCCTTCTTACTTCCCTAGCTCCTAGGGCTCAGTCCTTCAGTTAGGCAGGAAAATAGATAGGAGCAGGGTGGAGAGACAATTAAGGCCAGTTCCAGACCTCTCCATTGTAAGAGGAGGGATTGCAGAGGATATATGTCCTACTGCCAGACATCTCAGCTTAGCTATTGCTTCCTTTTGAAAACGTTGGGTCTCCCAAAGTCATATTGGCTATTCCTCCATAAAAGTCTACTGAATCCTGTTCATGCTCCCTGCTGAGCACTGGTCACACTATCTTGTTCATCTCATCTGCCTTCCCACCAAACTATGGACTGCTTAGTGCAGTGTTCTATGACGTAACCAGTATTCCAACAGCTTAACAGGTGTCCTTGATCTAACTTTTATTGCTGAGTAGTATTCCACTGTCTGGATATACCAGTTTGTTTAACCAGTCACTCATTGAAGGACGCTGGGGGTTGATTCTATATTGGGGCTATTATAAAGAAACCTGCTATGGACTTTTGTTGACAGGTTTTTAAATACCCATGACTGCTCTTGTGGGGTCATATGGTCAGTGTATGCTCAGTTTTAGAAGAAACTGCCAAACTTTTCCAGAGTGGCTGTACCATTCACATCTTCACAAACAATGTATGAGAGATTCAGTTTTTCTGTATTCTTGTTAACACTTGGTGTCATCAGACTTTTTATTTTAGACATTTTAATAGGTGTGTGGTGGTATCTCATCATGGTTTTAGTTTGCATTTCCTTAATGGCTAATGATGTTGAACATCTCATGTGCTTATTTGTCATCTTTATAGCCTACAGTGTCCAAAGTGTCTGCTCAAGACTTTTTAGGAGTGGGCTGGAGAGACAATTAAGGCCATTTCCAGACCTCTCCATTGTAAGAGGAGGGATTGCAGCGGTGTCTTTATTGGGTGTCCTTATTCACTTTCTAATTGGGTTGTTTGTTTTCTAAGTCTTGAGTTTAAAGAGTGTTCTTTATGTATTCTGGATACAAGTCCTTTGTCAGATATGTGAATTGCAAATATTTTCTCCCAGCCTGTGGCCTCTCTTTTCATCTTATTCATGTGGTCTGTCACAAAGTAAAAGTTTTTAATTTGAATGAAGTACAATTTATCAATATTTTAAGCTTTATGGAGAAGTGATAAAATAGAATTTTTTTTTCTTTAATTGTACTTTTGGAGTTAGGTCTAAGAAATATTCACCTGACTTCAGGTCACAAAGGTTTTTTTTCCAAAATTGTCTTCTAAAAGTTTTATAATTTTATATTGTATATTTAGATCTACCAGCCATTTTGTGTTGATCTTTTGCATAAGCTGAGGGTCAGTTCTTTGTCTATTTGTCCAATTGTCTGAGCACCACCACCTGCTAAAAAGACTCTTTCACCTGCAACTGCTTTTTGTGCCTTAGTAACAAATCAGCTGGCTGTACTTGCGTGAACCTATTTCTGGGTTCTGTATTCCATTTTACTGATTTTTATGTCTATCCCTTGACAGATACCACACTAGTTGATACTATGTTTATAGTAAGTCTTAACATCAGGTAGTGTGACTGCAACTTCTTTGTTTTTCAAAATTGCTTTAATTTCCCGTGCTCTTCCACATAAATTTTACAATGAATGTGTCTGTATCTACAAAAATTCTTGCTGGGATTTTCATGGGAATTGCATTGATCCTAGAAATCAGTTGAGAAAGAATTATCTTTACTATGTTGAATCTTCCAATACATGGACATAGTATCTCTCTCCATTAATTTAGATCTTTGATTTATTAGCGTCTTGTAGTTTTTAGCATACAGATTTTGTACATGTTTTATTAGACTTATATCTAAATATTTGTCACTCCTCTTCCCTTCCCCACCCTCCCTGGAACTCCTTTATCTAGAGTACTTGTAAGTGGTATTGTATTTTAAATTTTGGTGTCCAGTTGGTAATTGCCAGTATATAGAAATACAATTGATTTTTGTATGTTAATCTTGTATCCTGCAAATTTGCTAACCTCATTAATTATGTAAAGTTTTGTAGA